TAGCTTAGCATAGATCATTGAATCTGATTAGACCGTTAGCATCTCGCTCAAAAATTACCAAAGAGTTTCTATATTTTACCTATTTGAAACTTGACCCTTCTGTAGTTACATCGTGTACTAAGACCGACGGAAAATGAAAAGTTGCGATTTTCTAGGCCGATATGGCTAGGAACTATACTCTCATTCCAGTGTAATAATCAAGGAACTTTGCTGCCGTACCATGGGTGCAGCAGGCGCGATGATATTACGCAGCGCCTGAAAATAGTCCCCAGCACGCTCCCTGTGCAAGCAGGTGGTCACGTTGGTTATATTGATGTGTTTTGTTTTTTTTTCCCCATTATGGACGGAGAGAATTACAGGAAGGATTATAATGCTAAATAAATAGTAATGGTCCTAAAATAGGCTTCATTCAATTTCTTCTGGTTGTGGGGTGACAGGTTTTGTGAGTTTCAATTAATGATCCAAAGCAAGAAAGTTTTATATACTTTCTCCTTCTCTTCGGCTTTGCTGCAGAATCCGGTCTGTGCTACAGTACGTTCTGTTCTTGCTCTTCACATCTTTATCAGCCATTTCTTCTTCGTTTTTCTAACAAGCCTCGATACCACAAAGAACCGTTTCATAATCCTCTCTGTGGCAAGGAGCAGGCGACCACATTCTACACTCTACAAATATCTATATTTTTTTAACATGATATGAAAGTGTGAACTGTACCTGTGCATCACTACCTCACATTGCATTGTGGACTGTGTGTTCCAGGTGGACTGTTTTTTTTTAAAGATTGGACGGTGTGAGAGCAGCATTGAGCAGATGGAGTTAGACTATTCATTTTCTTAAATTACTTGTCATTGACGTGCACGTCCACTAATAAGTGATGTGCTCAATTCAATCAGCAAAGTATTGTTTAAATGACTATGCTGCTTTGCAAATGACCCAGAATGTCTTTTTGTAATTATAAAACACTTGTTTTATGCAAATACGTTGTTTCTAACATGATTTGTAATATGTACAGATTAAATTTCATATAGCTGACTCGATCAGAAAAAGAAAAAAAAACATAAAACAGCTGCATTGTCAGGTAATGAATTTCTTCCTCCAAACAGGCCATGTTGACAAAGTGCATCTCAAAGTCATTTGTGTTGTATTATATAGTGACTGAAATGGGAAGATCTGATCCTGGAGCAGTGTTGTGTTGGCGTTGAGATGCTTTGTACATACATGCACCAAACTGCACCACTTTGCTTTAGAGTGGCATCTGAGGTCCCTCAAAGATCAACTGATGAATGTATGTCTTCTCTTTCTATACTGTTGTTATTATGAGACGTATAAGAGCACTGTAAACCCCTGGGCTTCACCCTCAGCTAGTTTAACCATTCCATCACAGCTTTCTGATCAAACTTTCTAGTTACTTTCCATGTAGCAATATGCATATTAAATTATATCAACTGTATATTTGATCTTTTTTTAGAAGAAAAAAAATAATAAAGTCAATGTTTCAATCCACTAAGTATTTTTGCTTGTTTATGATGAGTTTGTTCTGTGATGAGAAAAAAAATAGAATAAATATTGCTTTACTTTCTAATTTGCGCCGGAGATTAATTGTTAAATAAGGTCGTTTAATTTTGGAGCCATAAAACAATATTTTACACTAAAGCCTTTACTTAAATTAGTGTATTAATCAATATGATAATATTATGTTGATTAATATATTCATTTATTATTTTACAATTCATTTTAACAATTATATATAACTATATTTTGCATAGAAGTAAGAAAATTAAATCTTCAATTTCAGGACCATAAATATTACTCATAATATCTTGCACGATTCTCTGTTTTACAGTTACTTTAATGCGTCGTTTTTTCACAGTATTAGAAAAAGTCTGTAATGCAATATTAGCATCAATTTATGGCAGTACACCAGATACTTTATAATCTAAATCTTATATGATTTTTTGCACTATGGTATTGGGGAGAATAATGCAAATATTCAGCACTCTTAAGTGACTGTAAAACTATGATATACAGTATATGTTGCTTGTATATATAGCCTATTGTTTTCAATCCCTTATTCTTGTATTATATTAATTTTTAAGTCAAACCTTATTAAATGTCAATGTACTATGGTACTGTTTGATTAACAACACTTCAAAAAAAGTGCCATGGTACTTTACTATTGTATTTTGGATATGTGGCCCTGTATGTACAGTAAATACCATGGCATATTTAAAGTATGGCACAATACTTTTTCTATAACGGTGTAGTACCAAAAGGAATGTTTCTGGGTGTGGGACCATGTACTATGGTATTACCATGTTAAAACCATGATCCACGAATTTCCGTAGGCTGTCACCATCTGATGCCATCACTTGTACATAACAGTATTTGAGACATATTTACAAGTCTAAACATTTGACATAGACTTTGATGGATGAATGGAATTCAGTGCATCAGTGCAAAAACCAACAATTCAGTGACTTCCAACCACCTTAGTCACGTACATTTCAGATCTGACAGACAGAAAGACCTGCCAAACCAGAGCAGAGTTTGAAAGCAACTCGCGCGTGTGTGTGTGTGTGTGTGTGTGTGTGTGTGACGTCAGCGCCCCACGTCAGCACCTTGCGGAAATACCGCTGAGAGAGAGCAGGTCAATCGGAACCAGTACTCGAGATGTTTTCATCCTAGAAAAAAGAGTTTCAAATCCAAATTAACGCTCTGTTATCTAGTTACGCCACTAACTGAGTTAGTGCACTTGTTCTCCCATCCGGTGCCGGTTCCGGTTAATAGGCGCAACAGAAAAAGAGGGACAAAATGTCCCTGTTCCAGTCAGCGCTTGATTTCCTGGCCGGGCCCGGCGGATCCGCCGCCGCCAGCCGGGATCAGAACGACTTCGTGGGTCAGGTGGTGGAGCTCGGAGATCTAAAGCTCCGGATCAAACGAGTCATCGCGGAAGGTAATAGATTCATTCAAAATAGCACCAGGCTAGTCATGCTAACCCCTGCTTAAGATACTGACATGTATTTGATTTAAAACAGCTCTAAATTTGACTGTAAAATGTCCGTAATGTATTCTTAGTCACATATATTAACATTAGCTTTAGTATATATGTATATAATTGTGATTATATAGATGACAATGGACTTTAACTAGCTGGCTAAGTTGTTAGCAAGTCACTTGGCTCTGATACACTTGACGTGAACTCATTTTATATTTCAGATGATAATCTGTATGTTCTTGAGGCATTTAGATATATGTATTTGTTATATTCCATCAATAGCACAACTTTATGAATAGTCACGTTAATATAGTTAATATTCATATTCCATAAGTTCATCTGTATGTTTTAACTGAACTTCATTTATATATATGCACCTGTGTACAGACTGTATTCATACACCAAGGTATTTACATGGTACAAAAACATGGTGGTATCACTGGTACCAC